GAGCAGATGTCCAGGGCTTCACAGAATGCCTGTTCTCGGTAATGATACTGGCGTGTGCTCACTCAACAGACATGTGACATATGCAAATCCCCACATAACAAAGACCTCTCTGTGATGCAGTCTCGGGTTCAATCAAATCCCTATGCCCACCATGTGGCACTACCATCTCAGCAAAACCCTGGTCTAAAAATCCCTGTTCTTCTTGCCTTTTTCCAGAGAGAGTTTCCTGTCCCTGAGCAGTTCAAGACAACGTGGGATGGATCCAAGTTGATCACTGAGCCTGCAGAAATTATGGCCTAAGCTCCAGACAGACCGAAGACCCTCACCCCGAGTGTCTGCAATCAAACAAACAAAATCAGCATTAAAGAGCTAGACTAGAGGATCTGGTAGCACTTACTGCTTTAGTTTAAGCCTCCAACAATTCTGTGCTATAGAAACAGCATCGTTTCTGGCACGCCTCCGTGGGCATTTTGAAATATTTAACATTTCTTCAGGATCTGCCTTTGTGTGTGATTTTAGTTCCACATAACTTGTGAGCACTACAGATTTAAAGGAAAAAGAAAAAAAATTCTGTTCCTCTCATGTCACTAACAGTAACATATAGGTAAAAACACTGCATGATTCACTTTTACACTTATGTTTAATCGCTACTTGAAAAATAAAACCTTTGAGAATCGATGTACATTTTTACCTTTTAAACAATTTCAATATGATGTAGTAGCAGTGTGCCCTGAAAAATGTATGATTTTTTTTCTACATGTTCACCTCTATCAGCAATGATCTACTGTCAGCATGAATACATACTTCAGTCACACTTGTAAGAAATATTTTAAAATTCCATATAAGGACCAAATTCAATTTCTTGGTCCTTGGAAGACTATATCCTTTATAGTAACTAAAGAACAAAAGCGCATTCTAAACTGGGCTTGGTGACACACCTGTAATCCCAGCACTAGGGAGGCTGAGGCATGAGGATCACCGTGAGTTCAAGGCCAGCCTGAACTACAAAGTGAGACCCTGTCTCAAAAAAATAAAACAAACAACAAAAAAAAAGTTCCTGGCTGGGGATTTAGCTCAATGGTTCCACCCCCTGCCTTGCAAGCTCAAGGTCCTGAGTTCGATCCCTGGTACCAAAAAAAAAAAAGTTCATTCTAATTGTTCATTTTAAATATTTTTCCACCATTTCACCTAAAACCTGTTAGTTTTGTTTTTTTGTTTTTTGGGTTTTTTTCGTACCGGGGATTGAACTCAGGACCTTGCACTTGCGAGGCAGGCGGCAGCACCACTGAGCTAAATCCCTGGCTTAACCTCTTAGTTTTTTGCATATTTTTATGCCAAAAGTTAGATGGGAGGAAGTGATTTTTTTTTGGCCATATTATACCTCACAATTTTACTCTAAGAACTGCTTGATTTTTGTTTTCCAGTTTTAAACTTGTTAAATATAAGATGCCTTGTGTATGATGTCTTTAATGTTTTATTATAGAATGATTTCTTCTTTTCCACTTGCCAGATTTGCTAACCAGTCTCAAAAATGGACATGAGAAGGCCACAGATGTATTACTTCTTATAAATCTTCAAGAAATGTGTGTTGGTTTGGCTTGCTGCTCCTATTTTATAGTCTTGACAGTACATGCTTTTTCAATATGAGTAACTATGATATTCCTTTGTGTCTCTTCAGTACGTAATCTGAAAAATCTGCAACTTCTTGGGTCACATGTGATGAAGTGTAGTAGAATGCTTGCAGAACCAATACAAGCATATATATTGTGCCTACAACAGCATCTGGAATAATCTTCATTTTTAAATATCTTCTATATCTATACAGTACTCAAATTAATAATGCTCATGTACCAAGGTTTTGCTATAAAAGTTTTGTCTGTATGAATAACTTTGTGGCTTTAGTAAATAATCTTTTTTGAACTGTAAACTTATTCTGAAATAAAATAAAATTCTAATTTAAATACTGTGACAAATTCTGGGTGTTAAAATTGTTTCTTTTTTGTGATTTCATTTACCCCTTGCTCATAAAACATATTTAGAAAAGGCACCTGAGTCCTTCTGGTTGAAATTAGAGAATTTTTATCGAATACCATCAGCTTACCCAAAGAACAGCTTCTTCCAGGCAGGTGTCAGGTAAGGCAGTTGGAGCAACTATCAGAAAGCTCCCAAAGTCAGGCCATTTCACTGAGAAAACCCTCCCCCAAGGTCTTTGTTACTGTATAGATGCCAGAAAATAATGATTTTATAAATATAATACTATGTGCTACATGTTATAAATAACTTACATGCATAAATAACTTCTAGAGGAAAAATTAAATGAGAAGATATGACTCAAAAGGATATGTTACATACCCATTGTATGTAAGTTTATATTGACAAATAAGTCCACTCAAAATTCTTAGCATCTATCAATTGGCATTGGACTTGACTTTAGCCTTTCAAATTTCTTCACCACAGATATTGAAAATCTGGACTTAAATTCAAACAATTATTGACCAACCCTGTATACCTCAAGTTAGCTTCCTCTTTATTTATTTTTCTTTTTTTTTAGTACCAGGGATGAAACTCGGGTCCTTGCACTTGCACAGCAGGTGGCAAAACCACTGAGCTAAATCCCCGGCCCCTAGTTAGCTTCCTCTTATCAAACTTGCTAGCCAGTCTCAAAACTGAGTCACCTCCCTAGATTAAATTTGTTGAAATTTTTTAAAAAATCTGCCAATATATCTACAACTACCTAAGACAATGATAAATTTCCAATGTGCTTTGTTCCTTGTACCTTCTTAAATTCTAATATCACCAGTGCTATGACCTATAAATATTGTCAAGGGGCTGAAGAAAATTCATACTTAGCAGAATTGCTTGTCACGTTCACAAAAAGTCTAAATGAAGTCCGGGGATTTAGTTCAGTGGTTCTGCTGCCTGCCTCGCAAGCACTAGGTCCCGAGTTCGATCCCCGGTATCAAAAAGTCGAAAATCTGTCAGCAAATCAAGGACCAAGGATCCCCTGTACCTTGTAGCATTACAGGATAAAAATGAAAACCCAAAAGAGATGTCTTTGCTGCCTGGAAAATTCTTTCCTTGATAATCCTGCTCCCTTAGACAATCGATTCTTGGTAGTCTTCCTTTCTCAGCAAGATGTTTTGAAGTCAGCAGTCAGTTCTAACTTCTTCTCCTTATCTATGGAACTGAACTGACAAGAAATATATAGAGTTCTCCTCATTTCTTCTTTTATTCATTGAGGGCTGAGAATGCAAAGCACTTGCTTAGCATGTGTGAGGACTGAAAATGTCTACTTTAACTTCTTAGAATCCAGCTGTATTTATGGAATTCTTCGTTTTAAATATGAGAAAACTGTAGCCATAGTGGTGCCCACCTATAATCCCGGCACTCATGAGGCCGAGACAGGAAGATCTCTGGGAGATTCAGACCAGCCTGGGCGACAGGTGAATTCAAGGCCAGTGACCTTGTCTAAAAAAAAAAAGAAAAAACAAATGAAAAAGATGATAAAGCTGAGATCGGGTGACATTAACAACTTGCATAAGGGGAAGCAACAGGTTAGAAGCAAGGACTGAAACACACACCTTTTTATCACTACTGTAATCTGACTTGTAATTTCATCATATTTGTGAAAGTTCCAAAGGTCATCAAATCCAGGGCCTTCGTTTCATTCCTCATTCACTGAAATTCTTTTTTTTTTTTTTTCACGAAATTCTGAACACCATCCTTTCCTTACTAAGCTCCCTTTGATTTTGTGGTGGACAATACACTTTTCTGGACCCTTTCCCTTCTACCTTCTGTGTTTTTGTCTCGAGTGTTCACTTGTCTCCCCTAACCTCATCCTTGCCAGGTAGATGCCTCCCAAGTCCGTGCCTCCAGCCCAAATCCATCTCCCCAGATTCCTAACTCCTAGTAGCCACAGAGTGTTCTACTTGCATATCCCAACATCATTTACCATGGCTAAAATGAGCACACATTTCCCACACATACCCCTGTTTTTCTCACCTGCCCCTCCAGTTTCCTCCGATGTTATTTTCATCACAGTTTGGAAATTGGCCATTTTCTGTAACAGGAAACACTGAAGGAGAACCACAGCTGGGGGAAAGCATGGTTCAGTCTTGAACATGTGTTATCTAGGGTGTCTTTGTGACATTTAACTGGAAATGGAGAGTACATGGTTGAGAATATGGGTCTGGACTCCTTGTCTCTGATGCCAAATCCTTGGGAATTATTTCATGAGTTTAATATTCCAAAAATGAATTTCATTAAACACGTTCATTTCAAAAGAATTTGTTTTAAACCATTGGCACTTTCTGCACCATGTCAGATACAGATGCAATTTTGAGGGCTTTAATTGCTTCAGTGGAGACAAGCTGGTTTTCTAGTGTCACAGATTTCTTGTGCACATTTCAGTGTTTCTGGATGTGGCTCAGTTATATCTATGCTACAAGTGGAATGTAAACCAGCTCAAATTACCCCATGAGAACTCAGCCAAATTTCTCCAAAGGGTTTCTGTTCCTCTATTGTTTGCTTAGTAACTTGGCTCATGCAACTAATGTTAGCCTCTCAGAGAATTTTTGTTCAGGTTTCCCTCCAATACAAAGTACTATTACATAGGTAAAGACAATCTGTGCCTAAAATTAAAACTTTGAGTAATCCACATTATTTCAATATCTTGCTTTGTAGGACTGTCAGTCAAAAATAGGCACTGCTTAATGACATGAAGATCCAAATGAAACACATCACTTACTAAACCATAATGCCACTTGTTCAACTCCATTCTCCAATATTCCGAAGATTTTTTTCTTTTAAAAATTAGCCTTTGAGGGGGGAATAGAATAAAATAAAATTTATTTTTTAAAAAAATCCGCAGCTTTGCTGGGGATTTAGCTCAGTGGTTTCGCCGCCTGCTGCGCAAGCGCAAGGACCCAAATTCGATCCCCGGTACCAAAAAAAAAAATCGGTAGCCAGGTGTGGTGGCACATGCCTGTAATCCCAGCACTCAGGAGATTGAGGCAGGAAGATCACCAGGAGTTCCAGGTCAGCCCGGGCTATATAGTGAGTTCAAGGCCAACCTGAACTGTTTAGGGAGACTCTGTCTCTAAATACGTACATAAATACATACGAACATACATAAAAATAAATCAGTTAGCCAAGCTAGGTGATGCAGGTTGTAATCTCAGCATTCTGAGAGGTTGAAATAGGAGGATCACAAATGCATGCCCAACCTGGACAAATCAGCCGCTGAGTGTCGAAGAAGAAGCGGGGGGGGGGGGGGGGGGAGGACACTAACGGGCTGGGTAAGTAAGTAACTCAGTGCAATGACCCTCGGTTCAATCCCAGGTACCTCAAAAAAAGAAAAATGATTACCTAGTACCAACAATTCTGGCAACAAATGACTCAGAACCTGCATTTTTAATTTGTTACTTTTCATAATAATTCTATGAACTCATTTCTTCCACTCCAAAGTCCGTTGGCCTATAACGGGAAATTTCCCCTGAACGTAACAGCTCTGTGGATTTGTTTGGGGAGCCTGCGGTTGCTCTTTCCTGCTCTCTATTCCTGTGGGGCATAATCCGCAGGCACTGGGAACGTTGTGCAACCCCCCC